ATAATGATAACACTCGTTGCCTTCTCTAGTGCAGCTCAACCAGGTCTCGTCCCATTCGTCGGTATTTGTGATATCACAAATCCCGGAAAATATGCGTTGTAGTATTATTACTTCGTTACATTACACCACTGGTGCCCTATAATTATAATTAATATTTTTGTGGTAATAAAAATAGATGTAGGTTAAGTGAAGAATAGCCTTTAAATTTACTTAAAATACATATATAATAATAGCAATGAGGCAATAATAATTAGTTCAAATAAAGTATCAAAAGCAAGAAATCATATGGTTTTATTGAACAAAATACTGTATTATAATGTAATAGAGCCACTGATCTATATATAAATATAATATAATATCTCTATTATAGAGCAGTGAATAGAGCTAATGTAGCTACAGTACGCATTACAACAAAGGCCTGCAGAGAGCGCCAACGGCCTGACGATTGTTTTTACACATTGCTGTGCGATCTAATACTTGTTTAATATTTACCAAGCATCATTTAATTCAAATGTCCACTTAATCTTTAATATTTGGCCATTTCTTTATGACAGAAATGCTATAGCCACTGTAATTAAATGAATATGTGGACATCACATGTAAACTCAAGAGTGAGGGTTTGAGCTTTTATTTTGAAACCGCGAGATAATGATGTATTCTCCTGTGTTTGGGTTAGGGTTAGGTTAGGGATAGCCCTAAATTACATGTTAAAAATAGAAAACAGTTGTTTTCCATTGTAATTATATTTCATAATATTGTTTTACTGTATTTTTAATCAAATACCGTTTGATCAGCCTTGATGAGTGTAAGAGACTTATTGAAAAACATTAAATCCAAACTTTTAAACAGTAGTGTATTTGCTTGAAAAAAATTGCATTGCATTTTGTTTGCTTTCCAAGTGACGTTTAAAATTTAATAATTGTTGTGTCTTTGAGGTTATTTGTGGTGCATGAGGACTGTTCAGCCTCAGAGCTGCTGAGAGCTCATGATGTGGAAGATCTCCTACAGAAGGCTTACTGTGACTCTTCTATCGCCATCCTCACTGACCCACTAGCAGACTCACAACGTCAGGACACATTCATCCTGTGCATTATGTTACTGACCTCTGTCTTTATTTTCAACATCAGTCCTTTTGAAATTATGTTTAATGCAAGTTTGCATAAATGCAGCAAGTAAAATACTTCTGATTGATTTCTCTTCAGAATCATTTGGCATAACTCTGCTAAGGCCCTGCCCAGACATCAACTCTCATTGGCTCTCATCCAAGCAAGAGGATGACATCATTCCCACACACCTCAAATCCAGGAAATGGGAGTCATTCCCTGCATCTGAGGTAATTCATAATCTATAGGTGATCCATTTTAGGTGTAAACTTCCTTTTAGTATTAGCTTTGGACCTGCTGTGGCACAAATAACTTGCTTTATAATGTCAAAACAAATCCACATTAAAGTGCTCCTATTATGCCATTTTTAAGGTTGCTAATATTGTTTTATGAGTCTCCTAAAACAGGTTTACATGCAAGGTCAAAAAAATAAGTTACTTTTCTCAAAAAATAGATTTAATTTTACCTCATTTCTAAATGATTCGTAAACGAAGTTGAAGGAAAAACCGCCAAAGTCTAGTTCCATCCACATCCATCCGGTTTTGGAGTGCCCTGATGTGCTGCTGGTGCGTCAGATGACCCAGCATCCACCTGTTACTGAATTACTGCGCAGGAACCTGCAAGAAAAAATCAAGGTGCCCTAATTCCTATAACACATACTAATTTAAAATGTTTTTTTAGGTTAACTTTTTATAACTTTTCTGTGATAGTATAGTGTGACAATAAAACCACAATATTGCCAGACCCATTACTGTTCTCTTTTCACTTCCCTTCAACATCCATTGTTTTGCAACTGACCAGCTACTGAATGTGATTTTGAAAATGGTGTTTTTTTACCTAGTGGTTTGAATATACACATTTATATCTATGCATATTTATATATTATTATATTCCCATATGGTATTTTTTTCTGGCCAGGATATATTTTAAATATATGTGACATATATATTATAAACAGCATGGCTTAATATATTTTTCAAAGGAAAAATATAATTGGTTTAAACCTTCAAATGCCAAAATATATTACAAAATATATTTCAAGGGGCAAGAAAATACATGTCCAATCTTAAAATACATTTTGTGTAAATGCAAAATGTTTTTTTTATATATTTTGGACAATATACATATATTTAGATGTAGATGTAAATATATTTTAATATATATATTAGCAATATAATTTTGGACATTTTTGCATATTTTAAAATATTCTAGAAATATACCTGAAATTATATTTTTGCTCCATGGGTTTTATCAAACAGGCGTATTTGGAGCAGCTGCTGCAGAGAGAGAATCAGTGGGAGAAGATGGAGCTGAAGGACCCGCGTACAGCAGAGGAGAAAGTTCATCAGAACGATCTACTGCAGCTTGTACTGGTCAGACAGGATCCAAGATCATTATTAATTAATGATTCAACAATCAGATGTCTATAGGTCATATTTATATATTGTATATGCTGGCTTGTCTTTAAATACATTTAAAACTTAACGTTTGTTTTAGTCCCTGCCTGATGCTGTAGACCCTCCAGTTGCAATGGAGATAAGGCCTCTGTCAGGTGAGAAAATTTAAATAAGAAATATTAATAAATTATTTCTAAATATTTAATTGTAATAAAATCATATTTAATAATTATTTAATTTAAAATTCATTTGAACTCTTAATTTATAGTTATTTAATCCTCTGATGTGCAGATTACTAAATTACAAAAGGAAAAAAAGCGTTTATTTTTATTTCAAAACTAATAATCATCAAAATATAATCATCCTCAGTGTTGTTTAAATTATGAATTATGAGAAACGTGTTCACTGCAATATTAGATACGCTCTCAGAAAAAAAGGTACAAAATCTGTCACTGGAGTGGTACTCTTTCAAAAGGTACTAATACAGTATGTACCTTTAAGGTACTAATATGTATCATTTAGGGGTAAATTACGGTACAAAGACCCAGTGACAGCTTTGTACCTTTTTTTCTGAGAGTGTAGTAAATAGCAATACAATAAAAAGTGAATAAGAATTTTAGTGATTGCATTTAACTACTAGATGATTTTTAGCTCTGTTAAACTCTGCCATTCATAGTGAAGCGCTCACTGTTTGCCTGTTTTTGTTCCTGTCGCAGCTGATGTGGCGTCTCTCTATACTCAAGCAGTGCGAGCAGCTCAACATCCCCACGAGCTACAGGAAAAGAGAGAAGAGAAAGTTACCAAGTGGTAATCTCCTGTCTTATCTACAATATGTAAAATATACACCAGAATAAGTTATTAATAACATGCTTATTGTGGGTAAATTTGCTCAGCCAATGGACTGGTATTTGTAGATAAAAAAACAGACCACAGATTATGTTACAGAAGGTGTGAAAGCGCATAGTGACTAATTGCTCTTACACGGTTTGCTTTCAACTTCTGCTTTTGCAGTGTCAATAAAAAGAAGCAAAAGTCACTGTGGGAAAACAGGATTAACCAGCACAGGTAAACAGTTATTCTGTTCGAATGGTTTCGTTTTCAGAAAGAAAGAGGGCGATGCATAGATGTTTTGTTTGCCCAACCTTCAGGCAAGAACTCCAGGAGCAGAGAAGACACAGAAACGCACTCAGACACCATATCGTTACTCCATACTTTCACCCTGAGCTGAAGGAAATGTCACTCTTTACAGATGAGGCTAGTACAACCATCTGAATATTTCTTAAGAGCTTAATAGCAACCAGTTTGTCTGCATTGTTTATTTAGATCAAAGATTCCTAAACATTTTTATCAGTCAAACCCTAAAATATCTACTTTAATATTTACCTTAATATTTAAAAAATGTAATGCATTTGCATTTTCATGATACTTTTATGTTGGTAAATGGTCACATGACATGCAAGTAAACAAATAAAATATTTAGAAGTGTTTTATTTAGGTTATTTTTATTTGTTAATTATTTATTTATTTGAATCTTACATTTTTATGATTTAATTATTAGCTGTTCATTAACTTACAAAACCCCTCTATATCAGAAACCCTGATATAGAGCATTTCTGTCAGGACACTATCGTCAAAGATGATTGACAATTAGCATACAGTTTGGATTGGCGGTATGGTTCTGTTCTGTGAAAGAACTCCCTGCACATCCATGCAGCCTAGCATGGATGAGAGCATGGAGAGCAGCGATAACCCCCCCAGGGTTAACAGAACAGAACCAACATAAAAATATTGCAGATATCGTTAAGTTCAATAATTTTATGTACACATTTTAGAATTAGTCTGATTCAAAGGATAATCAGAAGGCTGAATCCTGACTGACAGAGGAGGAGCTGGGGATGGAGGAGGGTAATTAGCTATTGAGCAATGCGAAAACTGCTGATAATACTGAGGGACCTTATATATGAGTGCTTAGATAGGTGTCATATTCCTATAGGTTGATGGGGATCAGCTGAGAGTCAGCTGATTCGAGCTTGACTAACGTGACATGCCAGAACTAACGCTACGCTTGATGTATATAAATGGCCACACTGACATCTATAACATTAATGTATCAGGGGGACCTGTTATATCACTATTCTTGTCTTCTGTTAGGATCTAGACTTGAGCTCACTCTCCCTGGATCTTCCACCCTTCCCCAGAGCGCAGCGCTTCTCCACGGACTCTTCATCAGGCAGAAGTAGTTCCTGTGAGGTTTAAAGAATAACAATAATATTTAAGTATTATTTTTAATGGAAAGTCTTCAGAAATAAACTTTGAGTACTTTATCTGATTCTACAAATACAGATGCATTAAAAAACTTGTGAAAGCTTTGCCAAGGCATCTGTTATTCAGCATTTTCTGGAAATGTCTCGCTCCAAAAATAGTGCAAAAATTGTGTAAGCCATCAAAATGCCATATCAAAAGTTGCAAAAAAATAAGTAGATATTTTTAAATCTCACACCAGTCCACTCAATAAAAAATATAGACAAATGTTTCCCCTCAAAAATATGCAACTGCATTTGCTTAATGTCAAAGGCAACATGATAATGTATTACTAAAATTAGTTCACCGATAGCTGTTCTCAGGCATTCACAGTATTTATTGCAATAATGGAAGCAGGTCTGCCAAGATTAGAATAATTACAGCATCTTAGATGAGAATTAATAATGAAAGTGATAACTTCACTTTGAAATATTCTTGAAAAAAATTTTATTAAATGGGTGTGAACGGAAATGCTTATTAAACTACATGTGGTAACGAATGATTCAGCAGATGTTACAAAAAAACTGCACTTGCTGTTCTTTGTTAACCAGTTTGTGTGCTCACAAAGATGTGCTGAATTTAAAAATGCACTTGTTTAAATCACCTTTCAGTGATGGTAATATTGTTTTTTTTTATCATCTCAGTGAGCAAACTTTGTGAGGTACAGCTTCGTTTATTTCCGCAGATTCACCTGTAAGGGAAAGGCCTGATAGGCACCAGAGTTTGAAATAAGGAAATCCCCTCACTGCTGTTTGACAGTTCACTTCGGTTCTTCTGTTTTATGAACACTTCCTCTAAAATGAAAGCAGAAGCGGCAAAGTGATTCAAGACTTGTACACCAAAGCAAACACACACACACACACACACACACAAGACAGAAGCTGTATAAAAATCAAGGTGCCCTAATTCCTATAACACATACTAATTTAAAATGTTTTTTTAGGTTAACTTTTTATAACTTTTCTGTGATAGTATAGTGTGACAATAAAACCACAATATTGCCAGACCCATTACTGTTCTCTTTTCACTTCCCTTCAACATCCATTGTTTTGCAACTGACCAGCTACTGAATGTGATTTTGAAAATGGTGTTTTTTTACCTAGTGGTTTGAATATACACATTTATATCTATGCATATTTATATATTATTATATTCCCATATGGTATTTTTTTCTGGCCAGGATATATTTTAAATATATGTGACATATATATTATAAACAGCATGGCTTAATATATTTTTCAAAGGAAAAATATAATTGGTTTAAACCTTCAAATGCCAAAATATATTACAAAATATATTTCAAGGGGCAAGAAAATACATGTCCAATCTTAAAATACATTTTGTGTAAATGCAAAATGTTTTTTTTATATATTTTGGACAATATACATATATTTAGATGTAGATGTAAATATATTTTAATATATATATTAGCAATATAATTTTGGACATTTTTGCATATTTTAAAATATACTAGAAATATACCTGAAATTATATTTTTGCTCCATGGGTTTTATCAAACAGGCGTATTTGGAGCAGCTGCTGCAGAGAGAGAATCAGTGGGAGAAGATGGAGCTGAAGGACCCGCGTACAGCAGAGGAGAAAGTTCATCAGAACGATCTACTGCAGCTTGTACTGGTCAGACAGGATCCAAGATCATTATTAATTAATGATTCAACAATCAGATGTCTATAGGTCATATTTATATATTGTATATGCTGGCTTGTCTTTAAATACATTTAAAACTTAACGTTTGTTTTAGTCCCTGCCTGATGCTGTAGACCCTCCAGTTGCAATGGAGATAAGGCCTCTGTCAGGTGAGAAAATTTAAATAAGAAATATTAATAAATTATTTCTAAATATTTAATTGTAATAAAATCATATTTAATAATTATTTAATTTAAAATTCATTTGAACTCTTAATTTATAGTTATTTAATCCTCTGATGTGCAGATTACTAAATTACAAAAGGAAAAAAAGCGTTTATTTTTATTTCAAAACTAATAATCATCAAAATATAATCATCCTCAGTGTTGTTTAAATTATGAATTATGAGAAACGTGTTCACTGCAATATTAGATACGCTCTCAGAAAAAAAGGTACAAAATCTGTCACTGGAGTGGTACTCTTTCAAAAGGTACTAATACAGTATGTACCTTTAAGGTACTAATATGTATCATTTAGGGGTAAATTACGGTACAAAGACCCAGTGACAGCTTTGTACCTTTTTTTCTGAGAGTGTAGTAAATAGCAATACAATAAAAAGTGAATAAGAATTTTAGTGATTGCATTTAACTACTAGATGATTTTTAGCTCTGTTAAACTCTGCCATTCATAGTGAAGCGCTCACTGTTTGCCTGTTTTTGTTCCTGTCGCAGCTGATGTGGCGTCTCTCTATACTCAAGCAGTGCGAGCAGCTCAACATCCCCACGAGCTACAGGAAAAGAGAGAAGAGAAAGTTACCAAGTGGTAATCTCCTGTCTTATCTACAATATGTAAAATATACACCAGAATAAGTTATTAATAACATGCTTATTGTGGGTAAATTTGCTCAGCCAATGGACTGGTATTTGTAGATAAAAAAACAGACCACAGATTATGTTACAGAAGGTGTGAAAGCGCATAGTGACTAATTGCTCTTACACGGTTTGCTTTCAACTTCTGCTTTTGCAGTGTCAATAAAAAGAAGCAAAAGTCACTGTGGGAAAACAGGATTAACCAGCACAGGTAAACAGTTATTCTGTTCGAATGGTTTCGTTTTCAGAAAGAAAGAGGGCGATGCATAGATGTTTTGTTTGCCCAACCTTCAGGCAAGAACTCCAGGAGCAGAGAAGACACAGAAACGCACTCAGACACCATATCGTTACTCCATACTTTCACCCTGAGCTGAAGGAAATGTCACTCTTTACAGATGAGGCTAGTACAACCATCTGAATATTTCTTAAGAGCTTAATAGCAACCAGTTTGTCTGCATTGTTTATTTAGATCAAAGATTCCTAAACATTTTTATCAGTCAAACCCTAAAATATCTACTTTAATATTTACCTTAATATTTAAAAAATGTAATGCATTTGCATTTTCATGATACTTTTATGTTGGTAAATGGTCACATGACATGCAAGTAAACAAATAAAATATTTAGAAGTGTTTTATTTAGGTTATTTTTATTTGTTAATTATTTATTTATTTGAATCTTACATTTTTATGATTTAATTATTAGCTGTTCATTAACTTACAAAACCCCTCTATATCAGAAACCCTGATATAGAGCATTTCTGTCAGGACACTATCGTCAAAGATGATTGACAATTAGCATACAGTTTGGATTGGCGGTATGGTTCTGTTCTGTGAAAGAACTCCCTGCACATCCATGCAGCCTAGCATGGATGAGAGCATGGAGAGCAGCGATAACCCCCCCAGGGTTAACAGAACAGAACCAACATAAAAATATTGCAGATATCGTTAAGTTCAATAATTTTATGTACACATTTTAGAATTAGTCTGATTCAAAGGATAATCAGAAGGCTGAATCCTGACTGACAGAGGAGGAGCTGGGGATGGAGGAGGGTAATTAGCTATTGAGCAATGCGAAAACTGCTGATAATACTGAGGGACCTTATATATGAGTGCTTAGATAGGTGTCATATTCCTATAGGTTGATGGGGATCAGCTGAGAGTCAGCTGATTCGAGCTTGACTAACGTGACATGCCAGAACTAACGCTACGCTTGATGTATATAAATGGCCACACTGACATCTATAACATTAATGTATCAGGGGGACCTGTTATATCACTATTCTTGTCTTCTGTTAGGATCTAGACTTGAGCTCACTCTCCCTGGATCTTCCACCCTTCCCCAGAGCGCAGCGCTTCTCCACGGACTCTTCATCAGGCAGAAGTAGTTCCTGTGAGGTTTAAAGAATAACAATAATATTTAAGTATTATTTTTAATGGAAAGTCTTCAGAAATAAACTTTGAGTACTTTATCTGATTCTACAAATACAGATGCATTAAAAAACTTGTGAAAGCTTTGCCAAGGCATCTGTTATTCAGCATTTTCTGGAAATGTCTCGCTCCAAAAATAGTGCAAAAATTGTGTAAGCCATCAAAATGCCATATCAAAAGTTGCAAAAAAATAAGTAGATATTTTTAAATCTCACACCAGTCCACTCAATAAAAAATATAGACAAATGTTTCCCCTCAAAAATATGCAACTGCATTTGCTTAATGTCAAAGGCAACATGATAATGTATTACTAAAATTAGTTCACCGATAGCTGTTCTCAGGCATTCACAGTATTTATTGCAATAATGGAAGCAGGTCTGCCAAGATTAGAATAATTACAGCATCTTAGATGAGAATTAATAATGAAAGTGATAACTTCACTTTGAAATATTCTTGAAAAAAATTTTATTAAATGGGTGTGAACGGAAATGCTTATTAAACTACATGTGGTAACGAATGATTCAGCAGATGTTACAAAAAAACTGCACTTGCTGTTCTTTGTTAACCAGTTTGTGTGCTCACAAAGATGTGCTGAATTTAAAAATGCACTTGTTTAAATCACCTTTCAGTGATGGTAATATTGTTTTTTTTTATCATCTCAGTGAGCAAACTTTGTGAGGTACAGCTTCGTTTATTTCCGCAGATTCACCTGTAAGGGAAAGGCCTGATAGGCACCAGAGTTTGAAATAAGGAAATCCCCTCACTGCTGTTTGACAGTTCACTTCGGTTCTTCTGTTTTATGAACACTTCCTCTAAAATGAAAGCAGAAGCGGCAAAGTGATTCAAGACTTGTACACCAAAGCAAACACACACACACACACACACACACAAGACAGAAGCTGTATAGTGACTTAGAAAGGACAAAGACAGTGAAAAGAATCACATGGTAGTGAGAGCTTGCCTAGTTCAAGGTGGGTGAGGAGAAAGTAAATAGACGAAACTGGTTCAGCAGGTAAACCGGCATGAAACGACTGTTGTGGACTGCTAGCACGCTCAAGTGATGTAAATATTTAATCAAACCGAAGATTTGCAACCTTCTCAAGCTACAAATCGGAGACACGAGAGAAAGTTTGCACTGTGGTAAGTCACCTTGAACGTGTTTCTATACTACAAATCACGAGTGTGATGTCCTTTCATGTCTATAATGCTTGCTTTCATTCTGTAGAAACACCTGTTAGCTGTTGGTACATCGCCTGAAAGTTACTGTAAATTAACAAGTTGTGTTTATAACTGATAAACGGGAAACATTATACAATGTTTATAAGAACAGGTACACAGCAAAACTTTTGAAATGCCAACAAATGTAGAAGCAGGAATTGTGTTCACATTTATCTGTTCACATTTATAGAAAAATAAACATTTATAGACAATGTTATATATATATATACACACACACACATTTGCACAAAAATTGTACATGCAAAATTAAATATTTGCCTATTTTACGAGTTGCTGCATTTATGGAGAAACAGTCTTGAAAGACTCGAGTTTCCAGAGTTTCACGAAGACCTGGTAAAATCAAAACTAGCCAAAATAACTGATGCAACGCATGATAAAAAACAAAATACATATGATAAAAAAAAAAAAGAATAAATAATATAATTCCTTTATTTTATTTTATTTTTCGAATTAAAAACTAAGTTTTGCATTTAGGTGACTCTCACTATGTGGCTTGTTTGAATTTCCTGTGGTGAGAACAGCGCAAATATAATAACTTCCTCATAAGATCAAACGTATTAGTGTTGATGCTAGAAGCTCACTCACTGTACACTAGTGGACTTGATAAAATAATTCGTATAACTGCAGGATCTCAGAAGACATTTTCCATCAATATCACTACTAGCTCCTTCATATATAGAAGCTTATTACCTGACAATACTCAACATAATGGAAAATAAGAACATAAAGTAGCTTGATTGATGCTATATTGTGCTATATTGCCCTCTAGAGGTCGGGGCAAGCTGGTCCTGTGTTTCTTTTGTGTTTAGGGAAGTAGTCTAAAAAAGAACTAATTTCAGTCCTCTTTCTAAGACCTTTTATTGACTCCTGCCAAAATGACACTGGGGTGAAATGCAAGAATTATGTCCTGTTACAAGCAGGATCTTTACACACAAGTGCATAAAACACGACACATCTGACCTGCCGTGTTGAACAACGGCCCTCCTGTACAGAAAGGAGAAACTGTCATTAAATAATGACCCGTTTTAAGTTTAGGGCGTGTACCGCGCACGTGTTGATGCTTGTCTGCTGGCTGACGTTAACCACTGCACTGCACACACAGTCAATCCAGAGCAAATCTCAAATTCCAGTTTAGTTTGTCTCGCTTCTGTGACTTGAGTACAAATCTGTATGCATTTACCTGTACTTTAAAAGCTCAATGTCAGTCAGCAATAATCTAGTCGGACCTAAATCGTACCAGTACTGTTTTAATTAAGTCTGTTTTATAAACATAACTAGATATTACGCTCGTAACTCAATTTCGTTGTGCGCATGCTCTCTGAAAGAGCCTGAGGTAACGCGTGACGTGGATTTAATTCTTCAAATATTCGATCAAACATTTATACATAGACAAACTGATTTTTTTTTTTTGTTGTGACCTGGGAAAAAAATGAAGCGGGACGAAAATTATATTTTTGCATTCTCTCGCAAACCTTTCGCCCGAGAAACATTCGCAAGCTAAACTTGTCATGTGAGGTGGGAAACTATATTTCATTCAGTGCTTTTACGAGTGGATAAATGTATTTCTTCTATGAAACAAATTTCGCAGAATCCCCAGACTGCCATAAAATAAAAAAAATGATTGTGAATGAAAATACAACTATCTAAAACATCACCAACAATTCTAACCAAATGACTGGTGCCCTCTTTACACAACAAAAATAGGCTAAGTCATATAATTACCTTGAAAATTTTGGCTGAACAATCCCTTTAACTGCTAAAAATTCAAACTAATTATAAAAAGCATTGCCACCTGGTTAAAGTGCTTCTAAATGAACATGTTATTCCAGTAAATGTCTTTTTAGGGTCAGAGTGAGTTTTTGTTGCACGAGACATGCAGGAACATCTGTTTTCTAAGCCTTCTTTAAAAGAGAATTGCACTCCTCCGAGGTATTCTTGAGTCAACGTTACCTTTCACAAGACTGATCAGATCTTGTCATCAAAGTTTCAGTCATTGATGCAGTGCAATCTGATTTGTATTATGATAAGAGACAAACAACTGGACAAAAAGGAATACAAGTAGTTTGTGAACAATGTTGAGGAGCTGTTTATAAAACATCTGTGCAGTGCAAAAAGATGTCAGCTGTCCCACCACATTCATCACATGATGAATAGCCTTTAATTTTGAATAATGAGAGAGAGAGAGAGGGAATGAGTGGGTGAATGAATGGAGGAGTTAATGATTGATTGATGTGTGGAGGAGGAGTCAAGGAGGGGAGGATATTCTCCTTTTCCCAGCAGCTGGCACAGCCTCTTGTCTGTCTATTCAGTTCTGAGCAATAAAGGACACCAGGAAAAAACAGGATTCTCGGACACCTTTATTTGTCGAATATTGTTATTTTAAAGATTCGACAGAGTTCTATTATATAGGAATGGTGGAAAACTCTATCCAATTTCCGATCTACACTGAAATTAAGTCTCCGAACAGCATTTATGTCACTATCTGGATCTGAAATAACATAAATGAACTCTTTAAGGCCCAAATACAATAGGTTGGAAGCTGGAACAACCGCTACATACAAAAGTCATGAAGTGTATCCTCAAAATATTCCCACATAACTGCTGAGACAGAATCACTGGGGCAACAGGAAGACCTACTGCTGACCTGAGGTCGTCCTGTGGGGAATACAGTCAGCTATAAAAAGACTCAGAGTATACTAACGACCACGTCTTTCATGAAAACATGGCAATAAACCTATGGGAGAGGATAGAGATTCTTGTTTGAAGGACTGAGAATAAACATGAGTTTTGCCAGGACAGAATTCTTGATACAAAGCTAAATTAACTATATATTAATAGATAACACAACTTTGAATTATTATTAAAATAAATAATAACAATAACACAGTGACAATGTTTCAGGTTTATTTTTACTGAACAATATTTTACAGTAAATTACTATAATCCATTCAAACGTTTCTTTAATGTTTTTGTAAGTGTCTTATGCTCAAGATGCATTTATTTGATTAATAAAATGTAAAAAATATTCAGAAATATTTGAAAACAAAAACATTTTCCTGTTTTAGTATCTTTTAAAATATTATATATTATTGTGTTGGCAAAGCTGAATTTTCAGCAGTCATTACTTCAGTCTTCAGTGTCATGATCTTCAAAAATCATTCTATTGTGCTGATTTGGTGCTCAAGAAATATATATTTATCATTATTATTATTACATTTACATTTAGCAGATGCTTTTATCCAAAGCGACTTACAAATGAGGACAATGGAAGCAATCAAAATCAACAAAAGAGCAATGATATACAAGTGCTATAACAAGTCTCAGTTAGATTAACGCAGTACACGTAGCCAGGTTTTTAAAAAAAAATCATATAATAAATAAAAAGAAAACAGATTGAATAGAAAAAGAATAGAGCAAGCTAGTGTTCGAGGCCTTTTTTGCTTTTATTAATTGTATAATAAATAAAAAGAAAACAAATAGATAGAATACAAAAAGATTAGAAGAGCTAGTGTTAGTTTTTTTTTTTGGTAAGAAAACAAGCAGTTAGTAAATGAATGGAGTGCAAGTGTTGTTTTTTTTTAAGAATAGAATTAGAATAGAGAGTGCTAGAGTTAGACGGTAATATTATTATTATTATCATCATCATCAATGTTGAAAACAGTTCTGCTGCTTAATATTTTTGTGGAAAGCATGATACATTTGCAGGATTTTGGATGATTAGAAAGTTAGAATGATGACTTATAGATGTTTACTGTCACTTTTGATCAGTTTAATACGTCCTTGCTGAATAAAAGTATTGATTTCTTTAAAAAAAACTAATTCCAAACTTTAGAATAGTTATCAAAACTTTACTTAATAGTTAATATTTGAATGTAATTATTGGAATTATTTTTACTGTATTTAAATAAACCTAAATGTAATTTAAATGTCTGTTTAAATGTAAAATTGTCACTTACAATTAACCATTGAACACATTTTTACTGATGTATTTTTTTTCATTCTTATTTCCATTACAATTATTACATTACTAGATCATAACTAGATTATTCACACACAAAAATAAACAGAGTCTATTTTATGCAGATTGTTTTAACAAGTACATGTTGCTTCATGGCATTGTATCATGTTAAAGATGACCATGTGAACAGGACTTCTGGCTCAGATATAAGCGCAAACCTCATGTGACGCTACTGTTTGACCTCTCTACAACAAAACCACCACAATTCTGATACTTCCTGTGGTAGTGTCTATCACAGGAAGGACCTTTGAAGAGTGCAAGTATTGCAGTATGTATAAGCAAAAGCATTTTCCTTATTTCATTTCGTTAAGCTTGCTTCTCTATAACTGTGGTGCAAAGAGTTCATAAAGTATGGTTTAGAAGCACAAAATTATTTAGTTATAAGCTTTTCATGTAAATAAAATGTTGTTTTAGAAGCTTGCTGTTTATATGCGTTGGGAACAATGGAGCAGGTATGAGGTTACTCATGTCTGTGATCTCTGGACACACGTGCAGTCAAGGGAGTGTCAAGAATTTTTTCATTAATGACGAAGAGTCGGCAAGTTAATATTTACTTAAGGACCCAAAGGACTATAACCTTGGTCCTTGGGAAAAAACCTAGGAAGTTTCTCACATTTAAGGAGCAACGAATTTGACATAAGACAAGGTTCTCTTTTGTTACATTGCAATGAATTTCTTTCTGATTGTGACTGAGATAATAAAATATTGAAGAAACTTGTGAAACTTAAGTGTGTGCATGTTTTTTGTAGGTGACACAATGACATCATCCAGGAAAACCTGGGCGTTCTCCTCTATGCGTTCAAAGAGTAAGTAGTTTATGAATTTAAATTAATTGTAAAACAAAACAAAACAATATTCTTATTGTTATTAATGTATGTACGATTAAAGCAGTAAAAGATGTTTCAAATCTCAACATATTTGCATTCTAGAAAGATTCCTAATCCTTTCAATTGTATTTTTGACTACTATAGCTAGAGCGCCACTGGATGAAGGGGAAAATTATTTCAGAAGAAGATTGTTTTCTTCTTTTAGAAGTGATCGACGTGAACGTGAGTCACTCAGTTTACACACCAGGCCATCCAAATGTGCCCTGCTTTATAAATAAACTGCAAGTGTACAGACGAATTAACACTTCTAGGTACTAGCACAAAGTTCAGTTGTCTCTGTCTTGGCCTACAGAAAGATCTCAAGGAGAGGAAGATGACACAGATAAGAGAAGAACTCTCTCGGATACAGAAATTGAGACCAACAAAGGTAAGACTTTTCAACATTTGATATGTGCAATAAATACTGTTTTCAGTATGTTTGCATTGGCAGATCTGTGAACTAGTTTATTCAGAAATTAATTAAAGGGGTCATATGATGCTGCTAAAAAGAACATTATTTAGTCAATACATAGGCTATATGAAATGAGGCTGTAACTCTGAGAATGTTCTTGTGGATTTCTACCAAAGTGAGTCAACCTTAGGATGAAGCCAGCAGATGCGTTATTGTTGGCAAGTGTTATTAAGTTAGCAAATTTATTAAGTTAGCTCATTGAGATTAAAATCTCTTTTACAAGAGTCACCTGGTAATTAAGGCATCAAAAGACAAACAAACGAGGACATGGAAAGTATACAGTGTCATATAAATTATGTCATTTATATGTCACACCAGTGTCACCCTGCGGTTCAGATAAATTCTGGACTAGCTGCATTGAAGAGCCGAGAAAAGAAGGAACTCCCACTGACTGAAGAAGACATTTTACATAATTTGAAGTGTCTTCCGACCTGCCTTTCACGTCTTTTCGCCGATTCGGTTCGTTCGGACAGTTTTATTGATTTTACCCAGACGCCCCGCACTGTTTTCTTTTTTTTTGCAGTGAAACGGGATTTGTTTGTATAATGCTATTTATCACTATATTTTCGATTTCGTTTCAGAAATTATGCGGTTTGACTCTCCCTAACAGTCAAATGATTCACGAACGGTTTGCGACTCGGTTCGAATGAACTGCGTTTTAAAATGAACTATTGATTCGCGAATCAGACATCAGCAGCGCGAGCACACATGTTGGTTGCACACGCTCATTCGCGGCAGAGCATCTTATCTTGCGCGTCCATGGGAAAGATTTCTGTGAGATCACGACATAAATATCACTTTAATTGACAAACTTTACGCAAAGAGATTCGAACATGAACGGAATTACTCCCTCTAATGTCAAAAGAAGAGGAAAGAAGGCAAACCCACGTAAACACCGGAGTAAGTTAAAACAAACTGTGCTTTAGTGATTCTGTATAAATTGTTCATATATTAATATCCATTAACTTATTTAATGGAGCTGATATAATAGAAGATTATAACATTGCCACTTTTTCCCTATATATTTTTAATGTGCAATTACTATCTATCTGTCTATCTATCTATCTGTCTGCATGCATGTCTAAGACCTTAAGTTAACAGTTTTGTTAGTTATTTAGATTTATAATGCTGTTGAACTTGTTAAATAGTTGCTGTCACAATATAGTATCGGGGATATTGATTCTTTACAGTTAACTATCTGGCATGTGGTATTTAAATGACAAACAAAGCAGGTTAAGCAAGAGTCTTTGTGGTTTCTTGTGAGGAAAATATAGTAATGTGGGAAAGAATAAATTACATTCGTTGAATTCACAATTTACACTTCAGCTGTCAAAACTAACCTCTTTGGCTAAGGAAGTGGATAACCAAACATGAGTTAGCGATCAAGCCATTTCTGGTAACATTTCTGAGCTTTCTTGAGCAATTCTGTGTGGTTGCATGTTGATTAATTTTCTGTTCGGTTTTGTGCGTTTTATTGCTCAGGTGTCTTTCTTCCAGGTGAAGATCAACCAGACATGGGAGCCATGAAGAGGTTCAGTACCTTATTTTCGTCCTTCCGGGGAAAAATCAGCAAAGACAGTGAGAAACGTCATTTAAGTATTGCTTTATAAAACACATATCTAGCTACTTAAAGAATCTCTCCAGATCTGTTTTTTAAGCTTTAAGTGACAAAAAAAGCATCTTTAATGAATGCACAACAAAACTTGACCATGTAAAACGTTATCTTTAGCTGTGGTCACTGACTTATATTGCATATAAAAGTAGTTAACCTTGTCGAAACATTTCAGCATGACTCATTCTCGTCTCGTAGTGTAAGTAGGGCAAAATGCCTAAACGAATTAATCTTTCAAACTGCAGTTTTGTGCTCAAATATTCCATTTGAAGATATTTAGAAAGATTTGTAATATGTTGTTCATTTAAAATTCATTTATGAAGTCACAAGGAGGTTCACAAAGTCAGTCAAAGCACACAATCTGCATCAGTCCTTTAGTGCACGTCTTGTCTTTTCAGTTACAAGCAGCAGTTATTGTTCTGTCCTTTATAGAAAGGCACATTGAAGGTTTCCATGGTGAGGCAAGTCAAGCTAGAACAAGACTTTCTGACCTAGCGGACTCCTATGGTATTCCCGTCGGCTTTGTTTGCTCTGTGTTGGGGGAGGCTCCCAAAAAGCAGGCTCAAAAGGAAATGTTAAGGAAATTCACAGTAGAGCTCTGTCTTTCTCATCTCTAATTTGTTTGTACTTTTTCGTGGTTCAGCATTCCCTGTTTGATCAGCATTTCAAGTGCTCTTTCTGAAGAGCAACATTTTTAGATTGTTCAGAAATCAAACATTTATAAACAGTTGGTTTGGTAGTATATCCTCTTCATTGGACTGAAAACAGTGTCAGTTTGGTTCCAGAGCATTTGTGTTGATTTGTTTTTAAAAAGAGGTAAACATCACAGAAGCTAACGTGTGTGTGTTTTGTAGGAACTGGTAAGGAACCAGATCTGCCTGCTAGCAGAGAGCTCTCTTCCGTGGAAGAAAAGGCAAAGGAGCAGCGATACGCTAGCGGGCAGTTTTTCTTCGAATATCTGGTGGTGGTTCGGCCTAAAAAGACCAAAGATGGGATATATGAGCCACAGATCATCTATCAGTTCCCTAAGGTGACACATACAAACCCTGTGCTCTGCATGCAGCCACATGTAGCCTTCAGAAAGTATTCAGTACTTCTGTAGCATTAGGGCCTTTCGCACCGCGGGAACCTTTTCATAGTACCAGAACTAATTGTGGAACTACCCACTTTTTGGCGTTTTCGCACCGCCGGAACTGGGTGCGATTTTAGTACCGGACTGCCTTTTTCGAGAACCAAATTAGCTCCTACTCCGGAGCAGGGTCTAACCAGCACAACTGGTACTAATCGTGACGTAAGTAGACATTGATTGTCCAAACGCATACGAAAACACCCTCACCCGCCATGATTTAAAACACCGTGTAAACATACTGTAAACATTGTGTCAACTTATTTCGCAAGTATGGAGAACAGCGATAGATGGACGGACGCTGAAGTGCAGGCACCTGTAGCAAATGTAGCACTGCCAGTTGTCGTTGGAGATTCTTAGTCCTCCAGTACTGTACATTTAGTTCTGGAACTAAATGCGAAAGGCCCTATTATTTACATTCAATAACAATTCAACACATTTTTTAATGCTTGCATTACATTTAATGAATTAGTAAATGCTTAATTCACATTATTTACATTTATATACATTTAAGTTTGGAGTAAAATTTGGGTGTTTGGAAGAACTTCATCAGAACTTTTATAATATATATCTTGCAAAAGGATTTATTGTTTATACATTTTTTGTTTGTTTTTAAAACAGACAAGTGTATCTATTGTAACGTTAAACTTTTTCAATTTTAACGCAAATTAAATTGATAGGTTAAGTCATGCATATATTATGTAAATATTATTTATAAAATGTATATATTATTTATTAGATTTTTTTTATTTTATTATTTAATATAGGCCTAGTTCTTATGAAGATGAAATAAGGTAACCAGTTATAGTAAAAATGTATTATGTAATACCCAAAACCATATACATACGTAGATGCCTCATTAGCGACTGTTTCTATGGGCCGCGATACGTAAGCCATCCGCCATTTTTGGAACGGTCTGAGAACCTTTGAGCGCATTGACTGTGTGCATCTACAACAGCAAGTTATACGCTTGCATATCTTTGAATATTCATTGATTATTATGGTGAATGACGTCAAGTTGACCATTCCAACAGGCACGTGCACACATAGATATCAACGCTGTCTTTTTATCTGCTGCATGTGCCCAGTCCACTTGGTGTTCCACTCCATCATTAGCTTTAGTAAAATAACCTGATAGCTGGGGATTTTACTGACTAACTCATGGTTTCCCCTCTCTTCTCAGTTTTTTTTTTTTTCACTGCAATAAGTATTGTGGTATTTTTCAGTTGGCCATTGGCTTTACTCCCAAAGTTGTCCTAATACATAATCTAGATGTCTTGTTGGCAGTATAATGCTACCATTATGTGAGAGACTTTTCCCTTTTTCATTAGATCACCTGATTTTACTTCATATTTGTTTGAATTTTTTAAAAAGTATTATACAATAATTATAGAGCATTCTGTTGTTTTATTTAATAAAACATTTTAGTTTAACATTTTAGAAACAGTATTATTTGTTTTAATCACACTACGTCAGCTGACCACGCTATATAATATTGTGCCCTCTGTTGGCAAATTGTAATATTAAGCAGGGCGTTGAACTGTTAAATGATTTGTTTTCTGCATGTATTTATCTTCATATACACTCTTAAAAATAAAGGTGCTTCAAAAGGTTCTTCAAGCGATGCCATAGAAGAACCATTTTTGGTTCCACAAAGAACCATTCAGTGAAAGGTTCTTTAAAGAACCATCTCTTTCTTATCTTTTTATAATCTGAAGAACCTTCTTTCGCCACAAAGAACCTTTTGTGAAACAGAAAGGTTTTTCAGATGTTAAAGGTTCTTTATGGAACAATTTAGACAAAAAGGTTCTTCTATGGCATCGTGAAGCACCTTTATTTTTAAGAGTGTAGAATGGTTTGTGTACTGCATGTTTATAATCGTCTTGTTAGACTGGAACTTTTCAATGTTATTTCTGATAGAGAAGTCTCTGTTAATTAGGCTAACAATTCTGCATTGTTTGAAGTATTACATTATGTTTTTCTACTCCATCACTGCAGCAATGGATGGATGTAACCTCTCATGATTAATCGGGCACCTCTGAGGGCCACTAATGAAGACAAAGATGTAACTTCTTAAGTCTGCAGAAGGTAAAGTATGCAAAATCGTAGCAAATCATAAATATGTTTACATTCTCCATGTTTTAAAACCATATACTCTACGTTTAATTTGACAAAACCTTGCCTTGTTAAGATGAAAGGAGCCCTTTTTAACTGCTTCACGGTCCATTATTACTTTTGGTACGCGCTAGGCCAGACTCAAACTCGTACCGTGAGTAATAATGCACTGTGGCAGTGTGTTTATCAGCGTGGAGAAACTCAAAACAGGTTTGGAAGCAAATGAATGAATAGGAAACATTTCAATACGTTTCACTTGCATAAATGCACACTTTACACTTGCATAAAAACCCAACCATGAGGGGCTCTGACATCTCTATTGTTTTCATTTTAGGTTTGAAATGAAGTAAACTGCATACAATCCAAGGAGTGGAAATTCTGGATGACAACTGTTCATTACATTTCTGTATGCAGCATTAAAAACAGTGAAGCGGTTGGAAATCAATTCCAGCTGAAATGAAGAGTTTGCCTGACTGTAAATCTGGGTTTTAGGCTACTATTATTTTCGATGTATAAGACAATTGCTCAGTGTAATGTAAATGTACAAAATGTGTTAAATAAATGAATGAATACTACTAATGAATAAATAAATCTAAGAATAATATATTTTGTAAAGAAGCAATAATGGTTGAATCAGTTGTTCTTGCGTTGTCTATAGGTTGAGGGGTCCGTGGACGTCTGACAAACATGTGCTAACTTCAGTGTGCATTGTAATCTATTTGCTTTTGTAATCAAACTAATTTCATCAGTGCAATACAGTTGGAGGTAATGCAAGTAACAGGTTATGTAATCAAATGACTTTTGTCAAGTAACTAGAGTAACATATTAATTTACAAGAAAATATCAGTTACTTTTTCGAATAAATATGCCAGTTACTTACTTTGTTTTCCCATTTAGGCTATTGACTGACAGCTCTCGTGTTGCCATGTTGAGAGAAGTCAGGAGTAAGTGCAGAGGCGTTGTGTGTAGACATGATGTTACTGTATTCTAGACTAAATGTGAACATTTACTCATCTCACTTGGACAAAAACAGATTCAGTATTCCTCAAAATGAATAAAAACAGTGAAATGCAAACTCAGACTATGACAAAACCCTGCAATAATTAAATGTTAAATAACACAAATATCCTTTATGTAGGCTATTTAATCCCATTTTATTAACCGGTGTCTTTGCAACGGACCTTTGATGATCCAATTCAACCATGCTAATAAGCAGAAATGACTTTAGATAAACAACGCATTTCATTTTTAAAATGCATTTATTTTTTATCTACTGTACAGACGTGAATTTGCCATAAAAATAGAATTTGTATATTAAAAAAACAAACCCAGCCCAGATGAGAAAAATAACTAGAAAATAAAAATAACACATTACTTTCCGTAAAAAGTAGCCTAAATAAGTAACACAAATACTTACTTTTTTATGGAGTTACACAATATTGTAAATTATTACCTTTTTTATTATTATTAAAACAACTTTCCCTAGCACTGGTGCAATCCTATGCAATTGATGCAGATAGATTAAGAAAATGGTAATGCGTTAATCATGCTTAAATGTGTGTGTGTGTGTGTGTGTGTTTTTTTACTAAATGAAAATGTAGTTCAGGTATTGGATTCTGTCTTGAACTTGGTATATTTTCTTATGAAACGGTAAGTTGCCATATGTTTGATTAAACTCTAATGACACTACTGGATAAGGCATAGATATACGTAGATGCCTCATTAGCGACTGTTTCTATGGGCCGCGATACGTAAGCCATCCGCCATTTTTGGAACGGTCTGAGAACCTTTGAGCGCATTGACTGTGTGCATCTACAACAGCAAGTTATACGCTTGCATATCTTTGAATATTCATTGATTATTATGGTGAATGACGTCAAGTTGACCATTCCAACAGGCACGTGCACACATAGATATCAACGCTGTCTTTTTATCTGCTGCATGTGCCCAGTCCACTTGGTGTTCCACTCCATCATTAGCTTTAGTAAAATAACCTGATAGCTGGGGATTTTACTGACTAACTCATGGTTTCCCCTCTCTTCTCAGTTTTTTTTTTTTTTAGAATAGTTGACATTTTTTACTTATCGAAGTTTGTTCTTTGCATAACCATTCCCAGATTACGCCAGAGCAAAGTGAAGAGAGGTGAATGCAGACATTAGGCGCAGCGATCACCGTGCATGTGTCGTTCAAAAGTAAAATATAGAATTAATCCATTTGATTGGTAAACCAAATTCAAACAGGACATTTTAATCTCTAATGGTAATGCATGGAATTTATGGAAAAGCTCCACTAAATAATAGCGCTAATAAGTGGGGGGCGTGGTGGGGCTTTGGCGATCGGCGCTACCATTGGCCAGTCAATATTCTTCACAGCCAATCACGGGCCCCCTCCTTGTCCGGGCCCCGGGGCTTCAGCCCAATGGTTAATACGGCCCTGCATGAGAGCTACCATGTAAATTAGCTAAAGTTTAGCTAAGGCAATAGGAAGTCTAGTAGGTTAGACCAGTGCGCGTTCTTTCACTGCATGATTCCGTTCATTAAAATGCATTTAGAATGATCACAAAATTCAAGATATGGGGGCAGAAACGTATATATGTATATGGGTTAACCCTAACATTTCATATAGTTTAATATTTCATATAGTTAATCAGTATCACGCGAAGACTGACGTTTTTTCCACCAAAAAACAGCATGGTTACAAATGTAATATTGATTTTATACAGCAGTTCAATAAACAAGAATTTAATATTAAGATACTTACGTTTTAGACACAATATTGACTGTTTTTGCTCTATTTCGCCAACAAATATAATTCGACTTTGAAAAAAAAAAACAAATTTGCATCTCTGAGCAACATGACTGTGTTTCGTTCCTGAATGAATCAGCCGTTTAAATGATTCGGTTCAATCGCAATGACTCACTTATTAACAGTGACTTGCTGACACCTACTGGCAGTTTTAATTTCACATTTAAAGTATATTTTCATTTAAAAAAAAAAAAAAATTCAAATATCAGTATTCAACATTTTATGCATTTGTAACTGCAGGTTAAAACATTCATGTCCTGCATTAAACAGTGTGTAAATGCATCTAAATGCCACTTCTAATGCAGCTTCTGTGTTTTCTCTGCATTGCAAAGATGAATTTTGTCAATACTGATTTCATTTGCTTGGTGACAGTGACTTATTATTCTAATTGACTGATTCAATTTAAGAATTTGACTGAAAAGATGATGCACACTTTAGAAATGGCCTTATAAAGGTAAAAATGCCCATAAAAGGTAAAATCAATTTAAACTTATTGGAAAAGATTAATTTCTATCACTGCTGTGAACTGATCACCACACAGAATATGCAGAATAACAAACACTTTAGGAGTCAGCTGTCCACGGTAGTCCTTAAGATATCAGCACAATAAGACACTCAGCAAAATATCATCTAATTATCATTATCGATAAAATCACAGAAAATATAATTGCATTGTAGAAATCCTTAAATTATTATTTATACATTAATACATATATACAGTGGGTACGGAAAGTATTCAGACCCCCTTAAATTTTTCACTCTTTGTTATATTGCATCAATATGGGGTGCTGTGTGTACATTAATGAGGAAAAAAAAATAACTTAAATGATTTTAGCAAATGGCTGCAATATAACAAAGAGTGAAAAATTGAAGGGGGTCTGAATATTCCGTACCCACTGTATATATATATATATATGTATATGTGTGTGTGAAAATAAAAAGTTTATATAGCTCATTCATTGTCATTCTCATATTGAGATCTATATGAATGAAAAAGGCCATTTGCATTTTTGTAGTCTTATTCTCCATTTGTCTTTTTCTCTTTCTATTGAGAACAGAAGGATGGAATGGTGCGATTTCAGAAGGAGGAGGAAGAGAAGACATTAAAGGCACTCACACTTTTTTGCTTCCCAGAGGGTGTAAACTGGGCGCCCTTAACAGAATATCCCAGGTACTGTAACCACGTGCATCGTTTCTCTCAGCATGCCTTGTGGAGGCAGAAACTGTATTTTCATTGTCTCTCTTTTTCTCTATTTCACAGTGAAACATTCTCTTTCGTGCTTACAGATGTTGATGGAACGAGGAAGAATGGATACTGTAGGAGGCTACTGGTAAATGATGACTGGGCTCATTAGTGATACTTCCTGTTATTTATGCTCATACTCATCACTGCCCATTACTCATTCAAATAAATCCCTATTCCTATGTGTTAATCTTACACGGCAACCCACTAACAACACTAGCAACAGGGAAAGCACCACTTACCTTTTCTTCAGAAAATTTATTTTGTAATGCATGAAAAGACAAGATAAGGTCAACTCTTTCCAAAGAACTCTCACTCACATGCAATTAAAGTGTTTTGTAGTGTTTTTAAAGCTTGCTTCTCTTGTCGTTGCTCTTTTCTTAATTAGCCTGATGGGAAGGGGGCTCGTCTGCCTGAGGCCTACTGTATCATCAGTAATTTAGCCTGTTTTGGACTCTTTTCCAAGGTAAACATCATAATTTACTGCACAGTCATCTGTAACTGCCTTTGGGCTTTTATGATTTGCATTTAAGAGAATTGCCTTATGTTTTTCTGACTTTGTATTAATTCAGAGTTTATTGTCTTTGCTAATATATAGTAATTTACTTGTCTGAAAAGGGATGTCTAATGATTGATCTCTTTGTTGAGCTTTCGGTTTGCTGTCTGAGCTTAACGCTACAGTTATTGGAGTATATTTTGTTTGTTTGAGCTGAACTTTGTTCAGGTACTTTTTTTTTTAGGTGAACGTTGTCTCATGACTGTAAATTAGTTTGTTTGTTCAGGACAAACATCAAAGACTAATGTGATATGACTTAAGCTAATGTGATCTTAAAGAAATGGACATATTCTAAATTCGGGTGTTTGCAAAAGTTGTTGACGCTTATGCTTCAATAATATATGGTGTTATGTGTTAACTGCTCTCCCAAATAGATTGCACATAAACCAACATTACAGGGAAATATGGAGAATACTGGGAAATATTATTACAATTTAAAATAACTGTTTTCTATTTACATTAATTTTAAATGCAATTTATTCCTGTGATGCAAAGCTGATTTTTTAACAGTCATTACTCCAGTCTTAAGTGTGACATGATGCTTCAGAAATAATCTTAATATACTGCTTTTGTGCTCAAGACACATTTCTTATTATTTTCCAATATTGAAAACAGTTGTGTTGCTTAATATTTATGTGGAATAGAAATCTTTTGTAACATTATAACTGCCTTTTGATGAATTTTTGGTCATTTTTAATGTATTCTTGCTGAGTAAAAGTAATTAATCAAAAGAAATCCAGCCTTTTGAACTACTGTATATTTCAGTTTTTCACCTGTTATTTCCATTGAAAGCGATTTTTTTTTCTTGAAGTTTTCCTGTTTGTTCAATCTGTCTGCTTGATGTTTTAGATCTTTGATGAGGTGGAGCAGCGAAGAAAAATCTCAATGGCAATGATTTACCCATTTATGCAGAGCCTGAGGGAATCGGCGTTTCCTGCCCCTGGACACACTGTTAATATCAAAAGTTTTATTCCAGAAAGAGGCACTGAGGTAAGAACTAGTGATAAAACTAAAATTGTTCTAAATCTTGAGGGTTGTCTGAATGGTTAGTCAGTCTGAAGGGGAAGCCCTTATTTTTCATATTCATCCCCTTATTTTAATAAAAAAAAAAAAATAATGGAAATGCCATCTGGTTGAGACTAGGGTTAGAGGGACTCCATATTGTAGATGCCACACTATTACTCCTGACATCGTTGTCTGAACAATGACTCACAACAATTGAGGTTATTGTAAGATATGACTTATCATCAAGATATGACTTTTTCCAGTGTCCGGAAAGCCAGCAGCTGCTACACTTTCCATTGATTTCCACTGTATTTGCAGCAGTTGAGTCAACAGAAAAACAACAAAAAACTGATGTTAGCCTGTAATTTCCTATTAAACACAAAAAAAAAACAGGAAAAGGAAATTGATTGAGGGTGTGAAATCGTGGAAGAGAATAAAAGCTGGTTTTCCATGTATTTTTCCCAGTAATTTTAAACCATAGAGTGTTAATTACAGTACATTAAAGGAGGTGTAAAGTAATACGTCTCTAATTCCAAACAAGCAGCAGAGTAGGCAGGCAGAGACATGCTGTCCACAAACACACACCTCCTCAGCTCTGGCAAAAAAGCAGGAAATTGAAGTGAGTGAAGTAATAGCTCAGGGAAAGGGTCAAAGATGAGCTGTTTCGTGCAGGTATGTCCTCATGCTTTGTACCAACTTGACTTAGTTCTGCTTGAACTTCTCCTTCAGCACATTTTCTGTGTAACATTCCAATCAAGTGCTCTGAACATACCTCATATTATAAAACCCATAATTCTGAGATCTATCTATCTATCTATCTATCTATCTGAAGGTACTCAATTTTGAGAAAAGGTAGTCAGCTACATATGACAAAAAAGAGGATCACAGTTAGGCTGAAAACATCAAACATAACAATTTTACACTAAATACAACTAATAAAACTAAGGAACAACCCCAATTTATATCACTGTATGGAAAATATATGGACTAAAACATTATTTAGCAATGATTCAAATGAATCACTGAATCACTTTGAACTTGTTCATTGGAATAAAATATCAGAGCACACAAAATCGCTAAAAACGAATTAATTATTTTTTTTAAGGCTTATTGCCTAGTCACATATTGTAAAAGGCTACAAAAATGCTTAAATTAGTAGCAGTTACTTACAGTTACTAATAAGAACAAACTCCTAAAGATAGGAAATCAGCCATTGATATGTCATCGTATGCACTTGCATTTGTTTTGTTTTTTGATTGTATCATGATAAGTTGATATGTCTTGTCTTGTGTTAATGTGTTTGTGCTATATACGCACCAACCACTGTGGAAACAAATGTCCTCCCTAAGGACAAATAAATGATCTGTCTGCTTCTAGTTAGTTATCCCCAAACTGTTTTTATTAAATAATAAAATATGTACTGTACCTATAATAAAGTATCTGTATGTCTCTCTGTAGATCATCAGTTTGACTCGTCCGACAGACTCCTGGCTGGAGCATGTAGATTTCCGCACATTGTTCAAATGCCTTTCAGATGAGGAGGTGCTCCAGGTGTTTGCTGCTACTGTGCTAGAGCGGAGGATCATCTTCATCGCTGACGAGCTTGGGTACTAAAACAGACATACATGCACAAACACAAGTGCTAGGTTTTGCTTTGATTTATATCCATATGTATAACCCATATTAATCAAGGCCATACTATCTCTGCAGGACGTTGTCTCAGGTGATCCACGCAGTGGCTGTATTCCTGTATCCATTCATCTGGCAGCACACGCTCATTTCCATTGTTCCCGAAATCCTAATCGACGTCGTCATGGCACCCACACCATACCTGCTGGGTGTCCAGAAAAGTCTTGCAGATCAGGCCACTGACCAGACCGAGGTGAGTGGCCAGACTCGTGACACTGTTGAAATATTGCAAGCAATTTACATTTCAAATGCTGCAAGCTGAAATCTAAATTCATCTACTCACCCAGCTGCTTGTTGTTGACTTGTCAGAAGGCAGGAAGGAGACATTTATCAAGAGTGTAAGTTCACGTTTAAATCATAGAGAGCATCTTTTAAATTGTTGCCTTGAAAAGTGACTGATGGATATAGTGTGGGTGACTGTGGTTGAAATGTTTCTCCAAACAGATGGGAGATGAGGACACAATATTACCTCACAAACTCAAAGATGAAATCAAGCAGGCCCTCAGTGCCAAAAATGAGAATTCAAGTAAGCAGCATTTTTACTTCATATTTAGTGGAGTTGTTTTAATCAATTTTCTCATTGCTCATAAATAGTGTTAAGTATTTGAACAAACCCCAAATAAGGCCTAGATATACTTCGTTTTCCAACTTCAGTTCCGTTTTGCACACAGTTGACTGTAAGTGTGAATGGATGCAGCTGGTGAATGCACACTATCTAGTAGAGCTATCTTTTTAAGCACTCAATCACTCGCATTTGCAATGGAAAGACTGGATCATTTTACTGACTTCATCTTTGAATCTTGTTGAGCCAAATCGGGCTCAATTTTTAATCAGGTCATTTTGTTCATTTGAGAGGAGTGTTATATTTTCAATAACCAAATTCTACGTACACAATCTTTGACGATATTTTGTATTAGGAAATCATTGTAAAGCAGCCAAGGATATATGATAACAACAACAAAAAAGTATAATTATTTTCCCCAAGTCTTTCATTCATTTGTCATTTGACAGACGCAATGAACAAATCACTATTGCATGGATGTTTTACTTAAACGCTGGCATGTGACTGTTCTATATCGTCTGTGCTATGGACATGAATGATCAAATCTTCCCAAATACGTTACGATCTAAAGAGTGTTGCCAGATTTCACTAGAAAACCCAGCACCTGATTCTAACAAAATAGCTGAAAAATAAGCTCCTTGGCACTAGCCACTGCAAATACGCCTAAATTTTCCTAAATATGCAGCTCAAAAATGCAGTCCGCAATTGGTAACATTTACAAGAGATATTATGAAAAATAATCCCAAAAAAGTATACTAAGCGGACATGGCAACACTGCATGCACTGCGTTACAACCATAAACAAAACACAGTGCCTCTGTCACTATTAGAAATTTCTGGACATATGTGTCTTTATTCGCTAATATTACTTTTTGAAAATACATACTAAACTGTTGACGTTTATGTTTCATGTTCATAGCTGCAAAACACCATGACATTGCTATGTAAATAATCGCACTTGCACCCTAGAAACAAGTATTTAACACTAATAATAACCCATGTATTTATATAATTTATCATCACTTCAGGTCTTGAGGAGTTGAACCAGGTGGTCCCAGAAGCTTTCCTGCCGTTCTTTATCAAGACTGTTGGTCACTTCTCTAAGTACATTGTGCGGAACGGCAAAGACCAGCGGGGAGAGTTCCAGCGAACTAATTTCTGTAAAGCAATAGAATCCAAGAGCACACGACGGTTTGTGAAGAAATTTGTACAGACGCAGATGTTCGATCTCTTCGTTCAGGAAATGGAACAGAGACCCGCCTCTCAGGACGGCACAGGTGAAACACACACACTTTGACCTAACATTAAAATTTATATTTATAAATAGATTTTCACATTGAATCTCCAAATTAATGTAGAAACAACATAAAAAAATATGAAATAATTTGGCATCTTTTTATGACGGCAAGCATCAACAATACTGATGTCTCTGTTAAATGGATTTTTTTTGTTTAATTATGTTTAATTTAAGTGAACTTAAAACAATCTTCACATAAACCCATTATAATAAATGTCACAATTAGAGGTTTCTTTAGTAGTGTCATCTTAATGACTTGAACTTTGATTTACTTTTGCATAAGAGAATATAAAAATGTTCTTGAATAGTAATAGTAAATAATCTTGAATAGTAATAAAAATAAAGTAGTAATAAAACGTATAGTTAATATCGTCTCCATGGGCGGCGCTAGGGAGGGGCTAGCAGGTGCTTCGGCACCCCCATAGCACTCCCACACATTTTTTCCTGAAAGCAAAAACAAGCTGTAGCCTGTTATATTTAATAAATAAGTTTAATATAAAAATTAAATAAAAACATTTGACTCATTACGCATGCATAATGCAATGCAATAACGTGAAATTGTGGCACTATTCCTAATGTCATAGCATTTAAAAATTGGAGCGGTTCCTTGTGCTTGGCACATTTACGCCTGCCCCCGACTAAAGATTTTTCTAGTCAACTAGTCACACGTTTACATTAAATTAATTCATATAATGGCCTACTAAACCATCCTGTAATAGGCCTAGGTGTAATATAGCCTATTAATAATAATAATAATAATGTAATAATAGTTTAAGCTCGCATATAAAGCTTGCCGCAATGCACCGGCAAAAGTAATGATTATAAATATGTCTGGGAAAAAGAAGACGTTTTAATGATTTATTAGTAAATAGCTTTTTGAGTCAGTGTGGGCTGCAAAGATGAAGTTGCCGACGTTGACTCGCCACCGCCGCAGACGTACCGGACACCTTTATACACCTTTTCATACTGACTACATTATCAGATAATTTTTTTCCCATTATTATTTGAATTGGTTTGTTTAATAGTAGACATTTCAAGCTTTCTATAGATTTATTTCTTATGTCTGTGAGGCAAGTAGCCGATTCTTGTGAGTGTGACGCGTCAGTTCACGGAGACCGGGACTGCAGAAAGCGCATCCGGTTTATTTTCTCTATTTTACAAAAGCATAACGTGTTATTGTGAGTGTACTGTGCACACAAATAAAAGTGTAATAAAAGCGAATTATGTAGCCTATTAGTCTTATCTGTATGACCAAAAATAATGGTGTATTTTAAGCTTTTTCCGCAGGACAAAAATGCAAGAGATCGCGCGGGTGCCTCCATGTCATAAGCTAATATTTTAGCTTCCACACTCCATAACACTTGGTGTGAAATTCCTGTTCAGTGAATGTATATGCTTATGCAAAAAAAACTTTGGGAACTGACTGATCTACGTAATTTCATAGAGTCAAATAGGCCTAATCATGTAATAAGTGTGTGGGCAAGTTTTCCCTCATATTTATTTTATTATTCATATATATAGATAAAAAAATAAATAACTGTTTTTGTTCATTTACTAGGCTCTTATTAGTAATTGCCCAGCCCCCCTGTCAAAGATCTAGTGCCCCCTTAGCACCTGCATTCAAAATTTTCTGGCGCCGCCCCTGATCGTCTCCCTTTTTCCTCTTTTTCCAGGGTTTTTTGACAAAAAGATCGCTGAATACCACAAAAAGATGAGGGAGAAAGCCAAGAAACACTAGTGGAAGCACTCACCAAAGTAGCTGGTTGTAAATCTTGTGTGAAATAAATCAGTCAGTAGTAAATCATTTTAAGGAATGTAGATAGAATTAAATGTCAGATTGTTTTTTATTTATGTTGTCATACGTTTACTGCTGTTTGTCATTTGTGTCAGGGTCTTGTTGGGGGTTATGGGTAACTGTATTGTGATAAGCTGCTGTATTTAATGCATGTAAAGCTTGTTTCAACTAGAAGCGTTTTGACCAGAAGGTTCAATGTCACAGAAACTGAGCCAGTGGAAACATGCTGAATTCAAAAACAAAACAGATTCAACGAATGAAATTAAATTAAATTAAAAAAAAAAAACATTTCATCTCCATATTTCAAGAATAATTGTAAAAGCACTGAAATGTGTCAAAATATTTAACATGTTTCTTTTCAAATTAAAAGGAAAAACTTACTAAAAGTAGTGTGATACTGTATTGACTTGGCTTGTGTAAAAATGTTTGTACATAACTAGACTTTCTCTCAATATTCTCAGAATAATGCATAAAGCTTACAGCGTACAGAAGCTTCTCTTGAACGTGAAAAGTTTCTCCGGAAACGCTCAAGTTTGTGAAGTAGAGTCCACTGAATATGACTGCAGTGCTCGATGTCAGACACACAGTGGCAGTGTCTCTCACATGGCACCAGCCAGCAGAGGTGAGCGTTCTCCATGCTGCATGTGCTCTCTCTCTTCATAGTGAGGATAGTCGTAGAGATGGTTACTCTGAAGAACAGGCTGAACCCGCAGAGTGATTTTCTGGAACAAAAGAGATTTAGTTAACAGGTGGCAAACTGTATGCAAATTGTATTTTATGCACATACTATGAATAGATAAAAATACCTAGAATTTTACAATATACGATAAATTGTGAGTAATTAATTCATGAACCACCATAGTAACAGATCATACCTGGAAATCATGTATGTACGTGAGGAAGAAGCAGATGAAGGAGAATGCCAGAGACCACTCAGCTGTAGCACTGACCTGGTGTGCTAGAAAACCCTAAAATACAGTACAGTTCAACGTTACATTTACATCTTTACGCACCCATTAATAATGCTGCAGTACTGTAGTTTTAGGCCAGCTGTTTCAGAAATGGCAATATGTGATGCTGAAGCAAGTATAGGGGCTACATCACCTCTCACATAAATATGATTATTTTGCATTTTTGTATTCGATTTTTTGTCAATTGTAATTTAATTTAAAATGATTTATTTTTATAATAATTTTTTATTATTATTTTAACATTTATGTTACAAAAGATTCTATTTCAAACAAATGATCTGTTTCAAATGCATTTCCTTTGAACTTTCTATTCATCAAAGAATCTTGACAAAAAATGTTTCCCCAAAATATTAAGCAGCAAAAACTTTTAACATTAATAATAATGAGATCCATTATTAATAACTGAGCCCCAGAAATAATTGAGCCGCATATCAGTATATTAGAATGATTTCTGAAGGATCATGTGTCACTGAAGACTGGAGTAATGATGCTGAAAATTCAGCTTTGCATCTCAGGAATAAATTATGTCTTAAAATATATTGACATAGAAAATACTTATTTCAAATTGTAATAATATTTCACAATATTACGTTTTTTTTTTTGCATTTTATATTAAATGCAGCCAAGAGACTTCTTTCAAAAACAAAAAAAATAGTGTCAGAATTATTTTCCTCATACCCAAACTTGCCTACATAACACTAACCTAATGTAATTTTTCCTCAAATCAAACTTATGAATTATTATTATATGTGACCCTGGACCACAAAACCAGTCTTAAGTCGCTGGGGTATATTTGTAGCAATAGCCAAAAATACATTGTATGGGTCAAAATCTATTTTTCTTTTATGCCAAAAATCATTAGGATATTAAGTAAAGATCATGTTCCATGAAGATATTTTGTAAATTTCCTACTGTAAATATATCAAAACTTAATTTTTGATTAGTAATATGCATTGCTAAGAACTTCATTTGGACAACTTTAAAGGCGATTTTCTCAATATTTTGATTTTTTTGCACCCTCAGATTCCAGATTTTCAAATAGTTGTATCTCGGCCAAATATTGTCCTGTCATAACAAACCATACATCAATGGAAAGCTTATTTATTCAGCTTTCAGATGATGTATAAATCTCAATTTTGAAAAATTGACCCTTATGACTGGTTTTGTAGTCCAGGGTCACATATATTATTGCTATATTATATTAAACCAGTGTATTTTCATGAAAGCTGAACTTTCATTATATCGTGTTGACTTAATGTGATTTTTTTTACCTTCACAAATGCAGTTACAGTACATACACCCCAAAAAAAAGAAGTGCATTGGGATTGGGGATTTACTATTCCACAGAGCGCCTCCTCTTGTACACTGCATATTTTGGCAACTATAGTAAGTAATTTGCATACAGGTGCAGTATGTATGTAGATACTATGGTTGAAATATTAAAAGACACTGAACAGTAACTTCAATTCAAGCGTATCGTCTGTCTTACTCTCTCTCCGGGCTGCCAGTGTAACTTATTAGCTACATCCACGCCAGGCAGGGCATCATACAGTAACACAGAGGATATGAAAACTGATGGATTCAGTCAAAGAAGCAGAACAGGTATAAGAGTACTGACACAACTGGACTATAAGAAATATAGAGAATCATTACAAACTGAGATAATTGAGCACATATTGAGAAAAAGGATACGTGTAATGATGCTAATGAGCGACCACATTCCCACAGCCATACGCGCCCACAGAATATCCCTTCCGTGGAAACGCAGCTGCATGTGGTACGACATGCCAGTCTGGAACAGGATATACAGCGTCCCAGGACCAAAGGTCAGGCCTGCTCCAAGAAGGTGGATGGATGTCATACCTGTTTTCTGGAGGAATATAAAAACAGTTTCAGAGAGCTGATATTAAACACTCAGATCAGAGAATGAAACTGTGGGTGTCACCTGAAAGCTGTCCACAACGCACATCCCGACAGTGCTGGCGATTCCCATCGGGAGGCCTGTGTAGTTCAGCAGCTGTAAGCCCAACTCAGAGGCCGAAATCAAAGCCTGAACTTGTTTATGTCGAACATACATGGTGCCCAACCCTGCAAACACACATACAGGAGAACAGGGATGAATCAGTCTTCTACATCTTCCCAAAATATCCACAGACAAAAAAACCCAAATTATATTATAAAGAAACAGAACAAACAGAGACAGTCTAAATCCAGAAGAACTGTGGCAACGTCTCCAGTTAGTTAGTAACTTTATTCATCCCCTTGGGGAAATTTTGTTTCAGTGACTTAAAGGGGTCATAGGATGCCCATTTTCCACAAGTTGATATGATTCAACTTGTAAAAGTGCATGTAGCATCCTATGACCCCTTTAATACAACATCAATTTCACAGTAAATTTCACAGTAGAACAATACAAATTTCACAGCACTTGATAAAAAAATAGCAATACTGAATGAGACCTGCTCATTTAGAGAAGGGGAGAAAAAAAAACATATTTCTTACCTATCTTTCATTTAAGAACTTCACTGCCTGTTATATAAAATATTGTTTCCCCCTATTTTTAAAAAACACCGGTATCCTAAATCTTCTACCTGAAGGCAAAAGCTCAAACTCATTATACAGTGGGTGCCTATTATCAGATATAATTTTCATAGCTTTACAAAGACATCTAATCTGATATATTTGTTGTAAACCCATCACAGGGATACCAAGTAATTTACTCCGCAGTACTTAACATTTTCTCTTTCTTAACTCTTTTGTTCCACCGTAACATTCCCAAACCAGCAAATAATACAAAAGGTCAATACACTTTCAATAAAAGAGTTATAAAACACTTTTTACAATGGAGGGCTTACACTAAATGACACCATCTTCCTAAGGAAATATAGTCTTTGCTGGCCCTTTTTGTTCACAGCGTCAATCCATTTATCCCACCTCAATTTGTGATCTAAAACAACTCCAAGGTATTTCTACTCTTCTACCCTCTGAATCTGCTCCCCTTTAATAATGGTCGCACTCGTTGAGGACTCTTTCCTAAAATCAAAACACATTTCTTTCGTTTTTGAAACATTTAACATGAGATTTGATACATCACACCAAGAAACAAATTCATTTAAAAAGGGTCCATGACTGTCCTCATCCCCTTTAAGGAGACAAATCAATGCAATATCATCTGCAAATTTGATTAAGTATCTCGCTGGACAAGTATATATACATTCACAAAATTATTATTATTATAATTTTTTTTTGTTTACAATAACTTTTTTTGTGACAATAATTCAAAGTTACATATGTTTATATGAGTGTTGCATGCTTTTGGTCTCATTCGGCAGCGAAAATCTGTTTTTTTTTTATTATTTAATTATACATCACCACTGTTACATGGATGTGATGAATGTAAAAATCTGCCTTTATAAATTCTAGTTAATTTATACAGTATCTAACTCAGTTATAAATTACTGTTAGTATGCCAAAGATGTTAAAGACAACATTTCAAAGATTCAGGCTTAGCATTTTCTGAATAAATGAGTAAAAATCAATAAGTATTAAACTATGCTCTCCCTTACACCACACACACTCATAAGACTGTAGTGCTATAAAATTAGCGATAAAAGACATTATATAATGATTCATAGTTATTTCATTTATACATTTAACAGATGCTATTAACCCAAGTGAAAGTGCATTCAAAGCATATACATTTATCAATACGTGTTGCTTTGGAATTGATTTCACAATCTTTTCTTTTTAGCACCATGCTCTTAGACTTCAGCTACAGGAACAAATTTCAGAAACTTCCCTGGCTAAAATTTTAGATTTTGTAAAAAAAAAAAATAAAATTCTGAAGAATTGCAAAAACATCAATAGCGAGTATAAATTCCTGGTTATTCATAATCTGATGTGTAGCACTGTACGTTCCTAAACCCTGGGTTGCTGTTCACATTGCATTTTTGTGGTGTCAACAATCATGATTAGATAAACACAAAACCACATTTGGTTTTCAGCTTTTGAAAACTGCGAAATTGGCCACATTGAGACCCCCATATCTCTGGAACCGAGCCATACAGGGCCTTAAAAATTAATATACCAAAAGAAAAGTTTGTTAATATTTAGAATCTAAAAGGATATTGAAATATCTTTAGCACATCTTGAGGGCATGTTTAATTTGGGAAGTTGCAGCCATGCAAACTTTTGAACTGTCACCATTGGTGTCTAATGCAACAAAGATGGCTAAAGTCAACAGATTTTACTAACTACCAATCTCTGTGTAAAAGTAACATAATGATGCTGCCATCTTTCTAAAGTCATTTTTACCCCTCTGTAATTTGGCTCCAAATCTCGGGTGAAAATTGTCATTTTGTCTCCCTTTACAAAATAGTGGATTTCCCAGTAAATATTCATACATGACATTTAACATGTTGTCTTTCTTCTTCGTTTATGTATCTCTTTCACCAGAAAACAAAAATAGCTGGGGACCTCTAGTTGACTTGACATGCAATGACCCAAAAGTTTAATGAATGTGAGGGAACTATGCACTAAACAGCACTGGCTTTTCAAATTCATTTAAAAACTAAAATAACCCAATGAGTTTGAAATAGAATACAGAACTCAAAATGAAAAAAAAAAAAAAATGCAGATTTACCTAGGAAAGCTGAGATTGACAGCATGAAGCCAAACACACAGCGTTCAGGAACCTCAGTGCCCGTGTCACTATACAAACAAAATAATAAATGCACAGTTTGACAGAAATAAAACAAAGTATGATTTTGAAGCAGTCGACTAAGCTGAAAGATTAAGATGGTATTTCACAGAATGTCCCTGATCTACAGCCATCAAAGTGATATTACATAAAAAAAAAAAAAAAAAAAAAAAATCTTTTTTTTATTTTCACCTCGTACATTCCAAGTATTCATGCAACAAGGTCTCTCTTCATAAAATGTTTCTCCAAGCCTAAAATGATGCATGACTCCTCATGGACATCTAGTACAAATTAAACTGAAAAACGTACCTTATGTATGGAACGAGTAGGTCGGCATGGCCCAACACGACCACTGTGGCATAAGAGACGAGGAATGTAGCAGATGACCAGATAACCAGAGCCACCGGGAGAGCACAAAGCCCCCGCTGAAACCACCACATGCTGCCCTCACATACAGATATTCACTCACAGAGATCACCAACATCAAGAACAATCAGTAACACATACAACATCAGCTTAAAGGTCAAATCAGCCCAACAGACAGAAAGTTATACATAGACATACACACACATTGAGGGGAGGATGCACATCACAACTGAACAAACACAAGACTCAGAACGCCCTCATGCAAACAGAAATAAGGGGACGGCTGGCCAGCTGAGACTCAGCATCACCCAATCAAATGGACATCAACGTCATCTGGTGAAGCCGAATTAGTCACACAGAAATGAATGTTCACAAACACAGACACGTAAAGAGATAGATCAGAGGTGGTTAGAGCCTCTAAAATCTGAATAATCGCATGTGGTTTTTGTGATGCTCTCCCTAAAGTCCTGTGACCAAAGTTAGCTGACACTCAATTCAGCGTGATTTCACTTTCTGCGCTCACAAAATTTAAAACACTCTCTCTCTCACACACACACACACACACACACACACACACACACACACAGTGTCCTCTGCACACGGTGGCTTACATATTAGGATGAACTTCATGGAAATAAACAATAACATGTACAAAATATAAAGAAAAAACAAACAAAATGAAGGACCATAACATTCTTTTGCATGGTGATATTATTTTCATGGCAATTTAACAATAAGCACATTAAAAATGTATAATGTACTTTTTAACTATAAAAACGAAATAAAAAAAAAAGGTTTCACAATGAACAGATTTAAGTGGATTCTACACAATCTGAACAAATGCATTTTGAAAAATATAAAATCAAATAGATGCAAAGTGTTACCTATTCCATGCCATTTCATTTATGTATAGGCTAACTGACAAATATGCATTCACATTAAGTTTATAACTTCAAAACCTAAATATTGGCCTAAACATTTTGAGTGTGACATAAAAAAAAAATGTATGAAAAATGTTGTTTTTATCACTGTTATACAAACATATATTTAATATATATTAAATGATTCTATTAAAAGTATTTTGGAAGTACAATTTTAAGCACACCACGGAAGAATTTGATATGATTTGATTTTACTTTATGCTGATCAGTGTTGTTTTAGTATAAATTATTTATATATATATATATATATATATATAATTTTTTTTATTCTCTAAAAATTTTTCTCTTTTCATGAAAATGAATTTTGTTGATTTAGTAATTTTCATTAGTTTGTTTAACTGTTAAGTATGTCTGTATAGTCTTTATACATTTTTTATTTCAGTTAGTTTATTAGTTATTTGAGAAATGTTGTTTTGTCAACCAGCTGAAATGAACAAACTGTAAGATTTATTTTTCTATTTTATTTGAAGTAACAATAATGTTTTTTTTTTTTTTATCTTATAGTTAACTTTAATAACCCAGATGGTTTTTAATAAAAAAAAAAAAGCAGAAAACAAGATTTACTGTATTACAGAAGTGAGAATTATGGTAATGATAATTTTGTGAGAAAATATAAATAATGCCCTAATATGTATTATATGCATGTTGACACAAAAGATTTATGAGTTTCAGTTTTGTTTAAGGTGTTTAAATCAACAGTTTTACAGTAACTGTAGAGTAAGTGCATGGATTTAATGTGGATTAAAAGGCCCCATTTGGAAAGAGCCACTTTGGTCAGAAAGGCCACAGCAAACACTGTTAGGCTGGTTAGAGTTTGGAGGCGGTAAGGCCCACATTAACTGCTGCACAATAGAGATTATTCATTAATGAATGCTGTATGACTGTAGCTGAAAATACACACTGTTCATTTACAAAAAGCACAGTACTGGAGTTCTTATAAGATACTTAAGGGGTTATGAAATTACCAATGTGACTTAACAAAGAGAATATTTACTGATTAGAAGCATGTATGTTGCTCCAAATTGATTAAATATTTCTAAAAACTAATTTTTTTAAGTTTCAGTAATTTTGTTTTGTTTGCGTCTTTATATTATTTTAATGTGTCTATATAGTTTTTATTTTATTTTATTTTATTAATTTGAAAGTTTTAGTCTTTTTTCATGGTTTTAGTTATGGCATGTCCAAAACCATGGTACATTTTTGCTAACATAACTATACTAAAACAAACTGAGGCAGTGATCAAGAAATCTGTTAACATAAATATGACATTCTTTATTTCATGGCCATTAGTCTATTACAAAGTAAAGTATTTGCTGTAAATCAACAAAAATCCTGGTTGAGGTACAAATTATACATGTATTGTAGATGCAGTGACAGACAATTTTCTTCAACTATGTGTGTATTGCAGCTTTGGTTGACCTCAGAGCGGCTCGGGTGAACGGGTGATGTATTTAAAAAATAAAAATAAAAAGGGAGAAACACAAATACACAGAAACCCACTTAAATAACGTTCACAACAGGATTAAAACATTTTCAACAAAAGTCTCAAACCGAGAGACTAAAAAAAACATGTACGAGCAACTGCTCAGAGGTAGATGCAAAACAATAACATATTTTGAGAAATTTACATGGAGTTCGGCCACTCTGTTCATATTCTACGCTTGGAAGCACCCGATACAGAACCGCAGAGTTAAGGCCCGTTCACACCCAGCACGATAACTAAAGATAACGATAAAGATATAGTTCACACCACAACTATAACGATAACGATACAGAGGAACGATATCGTTGTGATCACTTTCAAAACGATTTTTTTTTTCCCAGCTGATGAACGATAAAACACTGACAGCCAATCAGAATCCATCCTGCTGTAACGAGCTCAAGAATTTAAAGCCGCAGACGAGCGTGCGCTTAGAATAAACAGACGATATCGTTCGCTGGTGTGGACGCTAATATCATTATCTTTATAGTTATCATTCTTGGTGTGAACGGGGCTTTAATGTCTATTGTTTTGCAATATAAATCCGTCAAAAAAATCCAGTTTTCTCCAAAACAAATTGGCATGAAGGTAAAATATATATAATGACTGATTTCAGATTGCTAATTTAATAACGCAACATGCAGGAATATGAAATTGCATCCTTGTTGAGTATGATGCTTACAAACAAAATATGATTTACACAAGAGGTTAAAAAATATCAAAATCGCTGAGTCCAACTTTTACTGTGCATAGAGGAGTATACCGACAGTGACAAATAAAAGGCACACAAATAAATTAGCACAGGTTCACATTAACTAACGTATTTAGACCACAAACACTGATTTTTAGGTTTTAATGTCTGTTATTAAGGGTTCATATATGTACAGTGTAACTCACTTATAACCATTCTAGACGTCTATCTTGGCCCCAGTTATTATTAGGAAAATACAGCACTATCAAAATACTGTTTATAATACAGTTCATTCATCATTTAGTGACATTGGCATACCTAAATAATAATAATCCCCTTCAAAACACTACAAACACAAAGTAACAAATGCATAGAAAGAAAAATGATACATACTGTATGTTTACTGTTCAGTTTACTGAATGACATCAGATGAGAGGCTGAAATTTCTGAAATACTGATGGAAATAAACTCTTGCGCCTGTTTTGCTTGTCATAAGGTCTGATGCTCTCTCTCTGAATGCTCTCTGCTCCTCTCAGACAACAGCACAGCTTTGTACTGGCAACAGTGATACTGGCGTTTAAGTTTCAATTTTGACATTTAATTTTGCAGTGAACGGCTGCAAAGTTTCCAGTTAACGCCTATAGCGTTCTGTAATTACGAAATTACATTCAGATGGATTGTTGTCTGTTAATGGAATGAATTCTACACTGCTGGGCAAAATACTTGGTGCAAAACAAAACAAAATGAACAGAAACAAAACAAAACAAATGTTTAAACTGTAAAATAATTTTTTTTAAACATTCATAGTTGTGGCCTCTGTGGCAAATCTTTCTATGGCAAACAAAATTGGTCATCTAACAACAAAATACTGACAACTGAATGCCGTTCTAACCGTTTGATGTATATTCTATTTAATATTCCCTTTCGTCCTTCAAATATCCTCGCTCTTCATTATGAGAACAAAGTTCATAACTGCAGCCATTTGGGCTCGGTCTCTGTGAGCTGTGTTTTACATTCACTGAAGTGCGTGACCTACTGGAGGTGTTTGTGGGAGAGGGGACGCGAGGTTAGTGGTGATTTCTGCTGTCTGCCTGAACTCTGGATGGAGACGGAGGCTGGATGCTGAACACACGGATGTTTAAGTGTGCGGCAATCTGGTTACAGACACTCACGCAGTACCGCACCAGATCGAACGCTGACAGCACCTACAAACAGAAAGGAAAAAGCTAAAGCATGGCAAGATGAAAAATTTTAAAGCAGCAAATTGCATGAGCTTTTTTTTTTAAGAGGTATGCTTTTTTGGGTTAAATAAAGGTGAAGATCATGCACTGTGTACAGTTAAAAAAATGTTAAGATCTACACTTTTATACAGCTTGTCCCCTTCTGATTATAATATTAGTTAAGGTGTCTAGAACCAAAAACAGTCATCATTTATTTTTTCCACCCTCTCTCTGACCCTTAGAGCTATATACTACTGTAACTTTAAGACTTCTATACTTCTGATATGATCAACAAGTATCTTCACAAGTGATACGAGTAATAAGGAGATGAATACTAAATAGATAAATGAAATGGTGAAATGTTAAAGTCAATGTGAAAGCCCATTCACAATGCATTTTACTTCTGTTGTCAGACATATTTCAAGGTGAAACAGGATGTTCAGTGAAAAAAAAACAAAAAAACAATTTGGACATACATACCTATGGAGGTCTGTTTCCGCCAATGAATAAAAAATAAAAAAGGCAATTGCGACTTTACATCTTGCAATTCTGACTTTTTTCACAGAATTGCATGATATAAACTCGCAATTGCGGGTTATAAAGTCAGAATTGTGGGATATAAAGTTGCAATTGCATGTTTCAGACTTTTTTTATTAAGAGTTTAAATCAGGCAATTCTGACGTTTTTCTAGCGACTGCGAATTAATAACTCGCAATTCTGACTATTTTTCAGAATTGTGAATTTCTATCATGCAATTCTGACTTTGTAACTCACAATTATGAGTTTACATTTCACATTTCTGACTTTATAAATCGCAATTTTGAGTTTATATCACACAATTCTGAAAAAAAAAAAAAAAAAAGAATTTAGATAAAAAGTTCCAATATTTTATTTTCATTCAATGGTGGAAATGGGCTTCCATACATACCTCAACGTGTTTGTTAAAATCGTGTAAATAGATCAAAGTTGTTTCAGAGGAAGAGCAGGTTATTATATTATAGATTTCTTTTTAAATGTGAAATCATGTGCGTAATTGCGCATATTATGACCAGGAAAGTTTATCAAGAATGTAAATCGTGACAATTCTGATATCATGTTGACTTGAATGTGCTTGTAATTGTGACGTCATGACAATGAGGGTTTCTGAATGACCTTTGTTTCAACTTAGTTTCAATAACTAGTCTCAGCAGACTGTGTAAGAAGCCATGCGATGTGAAAATCAAAGCATATCTACATACTACACTGAGCTCTTTATTTCAAGAGCAAGGAAAATCCATGTTTTCAGACAGATGTTACACGTACCAGAGCGACCCACAGAAGACAGTACTCATTGATGAAACTGTTGAAGTACTGGTTCAGAAACAGCAGCGCTGGTCCGGTGAAGGCCAGGTCGTTACGATGCATTTCACTCTTTGTCATATGAGCAACCTAGAAAACAAAGCAGATGTGACTGTAGTGACATTTACATTAACTGATGCTAATGCGGTTTGGGTATGACAGATGTCTAACTACAGACAACAATGTTTAGTATTCATATCAAAATATGCATAAAATCTTACCAACAACATATTTATGCTTGCATGCAAGCCATAATTCTTCCTACCAGCCAACAGTATTCATACAGAATGTGTTAGAAGACGTTTATTTTAGTACTTATTTAGTGAAGCTGAAATAAATACAGTATACTGATGTCCTTCAGGATCTTACCACCAGTCTGTTGGTGAGTTTGGCTGAGACACATCCAAACGCTAAGATGTAGAGACAGGGATGTCTCTCGAATAGCTGCACTGATGACTTCTTATAGATCATTAGAGCAAGTGTGATTACCACTCCTATATGGAAGGATGGAGACAAAACGCTTGTTCCCTAATAAAAGAAGAAAAACAGTCGTGTGATTAATTTAGAGAGACATATAGTAACAAGATTTGTTTTGATAATTAGTTCACATCATGTATATTTAACAATGCATATGTCTGATCCATACTAGATGAAAAAATGTCTGATACATACTACATTAAAAAAAAGATTGCTTATTCATTATTTCACAGCAGTTTTCGGTCACTCATTTCACAAACAAAGATATTAGTAGACTGATGTCCTTCAGGATCTTACCACCAGTCTGTTGGTGAGTTTGGCTGAGACACATCCAAATGCTAAGATGTAGAGACAGGGATGTCTCTCGAATAGCTGCACTGATGACTTCTTATAGATCATTAGAGCAAGTGTGATTACCACTCCTATATGGAAGGATGGAGACAAAACGCTTGTTCCCTAATAAAAGAAGAAAAACAGTCGTGTGATTAATTTAGAGAGACATATAGTAACAAGATTTGTTTTGATAATTAGTTCACATCATGTATATTTAACAATGCATATGTCTGATCCATACTAGATGAAAAAATGTCTGATACATACTACATTAAAAAAAAGATTGCTTATTCATTATTTCACAGCAGTTTTCGGTCACTCATTTCACAAACAAAGATATTTTATACTTAACATGCTTTAGCTGAAATGATATATATATAAAAAACATTTTGGTCGCTCCAGTTGACTTGAGTATACTCATTTTAAACAATTTTATTTCAATTAAAAAAGCAGTTTACTTTTAGAATTAAAAATACATTAAATAACACAAAATTATGAATTTTTACATCCAAGCAATGAACGACACTATGCATTTTAGTTTCATTTTCATTTCTGTTTAGTGGTGCAGAAATCACCCACACTTTAGTTTTAACTTACCGCAATAGTAGATCCATTTTTGCCCATTCCGCCTGTAAATATAACCCGGAAATAGTTTGTGCAGGAGAAAATGGCACCCAGAAGAGTGCAAAGGGCCGGTATTATTTTAATCTGGATATTTATCACAGGGATCTGAAAGATTGAAAACAAATCTCTCATATCCTGTTCCCAGTCATCACATATATGAGTGCTTTTCATTGGGATTCTGCATTTCACTGAACACATGAAATATGCAAGAGAATCAAATTTCCTGACTGACCATGATATGCAGATTTAACATGTTGAACATATGGTCTAATCATATGACCAAAATATGAAAGAATTAAGATTGATTTAAATTACCACAGATTGCCAAAAAGCTGTTCCTCCAATGGCAGCCAGTAAGTACATGATTATAATGAAGATTTGAACCTCAGTCACATCAATTCTGCACAAGCAAAAAAGTGATTAAAGGATTAAATAAAACTAGTTAATTATTAATCTCGCTCAATTCTTGCTTTTCATGTTCTTTCTGTAGTCCTTTATCTACAGTACAACAGCTGTCTGAAAGCTGCTGGTTTCCCATGAGCAGAACAGAACGTTCAAATATAATTTCTGTGTACTGAACGTGAAGTACAGGTGCCATTTATTATGATTAAGAGGAGAGTTTTTACTCACATGCCAAAGCGCAGCGTTCCAGAAACATACGTCTGCCAGTGGGCACAATAAAACATGAAGATGCCCACGAAACAACAGAAAAACATCCAGTCAGGGTGAGTACCCAGCTGCACTGCTATACATGTGCCCAGGACCACAAACACTGCATCACAGAAAGACACAAAACAACAAGGCAGTAAGTATGTCTAAAGGCTGGAATACACTACACGACTTTTCAAAACTGAACAGATCTTAAAACACTGGGCATCATGCACTTACCGACTTTGTAACAGTCACAGAGGAAAAACTGGGCATCATACACTAGCAGACTTTAAAGGCCAATTCACACCACACAGACAAACGCCAACAAACACCAACGGAC